ACTACTACTACTACTACTACTACTACTACTACTACTACTACTACTACCCGGGTCATCGGTTTCCTTTTTTGGAAATGTTTTTGGTTTTGGTTTCCTGGTTTTGGTTACCGAATCAACGGCTTTAGTTACCGAATCAGCGGGTTTTGGTTACCGAATCAGTGGTTTTGGTTGCCGAATCAGACGTTTTGGTTACCGAATCAGACGTTTTGGTTACCGAATCAGCGCTTTTGGTTACCGAATCATAGTTACCGAATCAGACCGTTTGGTTACCGAATCAGACGTCGACCATGGGAGATGAGTCGAAGAGTGACCTGAGAAGACTGGCAGACTGGTCTGGCAAGAAACTTCTGGGTGTGGTTCCATAATTTTCGACAAATCCTCTGGAGTGAAGACAGAAATGAAGAACCCCCGAACCCCCTTTGCCGCACATCTGTGTTGCAGGAATGGCTCATCGCCAAGGTCGCAGAGAAACTCTCGGCCTTGGATGCACTAACACTGCGAGCCGCCTCGAAAGGCCGGACAATGTCCAACCCCGTCGAAGCACGTGGTCCGGCTCCGCAAGCATGCAAAGCACCGCCGTTTCAACGCTTGAGGATATGCCCCGAAAAGAACAACACCAGCTCATGGCCTCCCTTCCCATCAACCTTGGAGGGTCTTTGATGTGCCAAAGATCCATTTTTGGCGCTGCCAGCATTCCTCCCGGCCCGAGCGTGTGGAACGCTGATTGCAGGCCTCCAAAAGGTGGCAGAGCCATGGTTGCAAGAAGCGGCTTCCTGGGCTTCCTAGGCAATGTTTGGGACTGCTCTAGGCACCCAAACCACAGAAGATGAATCGGGTGCGCCAACCTTTTCTTCCGCAACCGGCAACCGGTTCCATGTCAATCCAAGAAGATTGATCTTTGAGCTCGTCCTTCTTGGCTTTGCATAGACTGGATAACTGACATGCTTGGACATTGAAGATTGACTGGCGCACACTAAATGGGAACCGTGCATGCTTGGCTCCAGATGCCCAAAGTGGTACTTTAAAGTTTCAAGCCTGTTAGTGCCATGAGAGCCAATGGGAAGCGTTGTGACCCACTGCTGTCGCAGGGAAGTTCCGGATGCAAATGATCTGAAGAATGATCGGCCGGTCATCACGGGGGGTCTCCTCAGTGGGGCTGCACCGCCGGCTCTTCTTCTGCAGACACCGCTCGAAGTGGAAAGATGTCACTTGGGACTTTGGAACTGTCGCATTGGAATGGATTGTTGATGCTTTGCCCAAGTGTGCGAGGGGTAGAGGACGGGATAGGAAGCAGCCCCTCCATCTCTCACTGATTGCTTTTGAGCGCTCTCCGCCTCTCCGCTTGTTAGGTGATGAGCCGCGTGCCGTGCGGCCCAAAACCCGCACCTCCTTTGCGGCTGGGCGCTCAGTTACGGAGCAGCTTGGCTTCAGCCTCTATGAGGCTTTGCCATCGGAGACGCAGTGGCTCAACGAGGCAGGTCCGAGTGAATTTGAAAAGCAAAGGCAAGAAAAAAGACAAGACAACAAGACAACAAGACAAGTACTGTAGCTATTCAAGCATTCCAAAATCCACCATCGCTAGATGGCTATGATATGCCAGGACATGATGAGGGTTCGGTTTCGACTAAAATTATCGAAAGGAAGGGGGCTTCCACAAAGTCTTCAATACCAGCGTGGTAGAACTTGTTCCTCTTCCTTTGAAAACGATTCCAAAGAGGTTCCAAACCTTCACTCAACCTTCTCAAGAGATTCGAATCCTTCAGATGGTAATGAACTCTTCAAAACTGTTAGGCTGAACTGAACTGTTAGGCTGCAACCTACCCGACCTGAGACCTGGCTGCAAGGGCCACCCCACCAATCCGAAGAGCCGTGCACAATTTTGGAGGCGGTGGATCGTTTGTGGGAGTACATCGAGCAGGCCATTCGAAAGCTGCTCCAAGAAGATATCACCAAGAAAATCCGTGAGGATTCTGAGCAGTCTTTGCTGAAGACGTTTGAGTTCACGAGCTGCAATTTTGGGCGGGCCCGGCCGAAGTTCGGGCAGATGAAGGTCCGGTCCAAGGCGGGTGTGACCAACCAACCAAACGAGTAGGTCCTACTAGCGCAATATAAATACATTTGAAGGCACAGCATGTTGGCAAAGTTTGACAAGCTGGAAGCAGGTCTGTCATGGTTTGTGTTTTGCTTGATCAAGGGTGTTGCTCATCTTCCGTAGCTCACTCCAGTCGCCTCATCTAAGGGGAACTTGTTGGAGTTTTTCCTTGAGCTGGATTGGGATGCTCCCGAGTCTGACATTGCAGTGACCTGTGAAGATGGTGGCAGTTGTTTTACGTTGTTGATATTTTTCTCTGTGCCTGTGACTGTCGTGATGTGTCCTTCTCCATATGTATATATATATATTATATACTAGCTCCCCCCAAAAAACCACCTTACTAGTGGCCTTGGATGCAATCATTCAAACATTGATATTACTGCGTTCAGATAAAAGAGAGGCACTAAACATGTTTTTTAAATTGCAAACTATTTAAAATATTTGAACCATTCAATTTAACATTTAGTCAATATTTTAAATATGTTCAGAATCTTTTATATTATACTGAATATTTAGAATATGGAACATTTTATTGAAATAGAATTTAACTTGATGTTGTATTTTCTTTTAATTATTAATACTAAATTGACTCCTGAAATTGGCAACCCTCTTGAATTCAATATTACTTTTATAACATCTAAATACCTCACCTTTAAAACACATTCAACATATGCTTGTTTATTTTGAATGAGGAAGAAGACTGTGGCCCTCAATCGAATTATTTGTGTATAGTCTTGACGGAAGAGAACACATGTATATTATAATATATATATATAACATAACTTATAACAATATGATGGTCATGGTGATATGCTTTAGAAACGGGCTTGGGGGGTTGAAGATGCAAAGAATCAGAACTTCAGAGATGTGGTCGGGATGTCGAAGAAGTCCTTCATGTGCAAGATGGGGCGCTGGGGGTCGTCATCCTCCGTAGATGGAGGGGGTTGGCTGCCACTTCAAGCCCGATCATCAGCCAGAGCGCCACTTCAAGCCCGTGCTTCAAGGATTGCAGCCACCGACTCACAGTTTCCTGCAGGAAAGCAGCCAGTACATCGCTCAGGCACCCGCTGCAAAGACGCGCCGCAACTAGCATCAAACGCCCTTGCCCCTTGCGCTGCCAGGTCGTTTTCCACCACAGTCGGCAGTGGGCTGACACACTCACAAACATTTTGCTGCAAGGGGTCGGGACGTAGGGCATCCCAGCAGCGTCCTCCACCATGGACCTGGCTGACCGGCTTGGCCCGATGCCCTGAGTATGATTCTTTGAAGCGCCCCCGGCGGGGGCTCATAAACACACTTCAAAAGTGTTCAGAACTGGCACTTTGGAAAGGCTCAGATTTGAAGCAGTGGAATGTGTGCATTGTTGATGTCAGGTTTCCTTGGGGTCAATGAAGCTGGGCATGCAGCATCTCAAACTCACTGGCTCTTTGCTGTTGGTTTTTTCGCCCTTGTTGCTTGGCAGACTCCGCAAGTTGGGAGCACGATGGAGCATGTCATGTCAAGATTTTGGCGGAAAAGAGTTGGTTAGCGTGACTTTGCGGGATTTTTTGAGGTGGTGCTGTCACCTTTCAAACCTTTTTGGAGTTCTGAATTTGTGACTTCCTTCTGTGTTCAGGGGTGACGCCCAAGGCCTCGCAAATTTTCAATCCCTTTGTGGATCAGACACCCCGCTGAGTGCGAAGTGGATGAACTTGAGGCTGGAAAAACTGCCCTTGGTCGGTGGCCTCAGTGTGACCTTCCCCGACATCCCAGAGTTTTCCTGGACCTGGACTGGCTCGGCGGGCCTGGGCATCCGCAGCATCGCTGCGACGTTGGACCAGGCGAGTGACCAGGAGAGAGTGGGGTCACCAAAGACCAGAACCCAAAGATGTGGGGATCCTCATTCTTTAGTGAATCTAAATCATAGCCTCGAAGGTAGACAAGTGTGCAAAAGCAGATGGGTAGGATAAAATTGTGGTGAACGAAGTGAAGTAGAGGGAAGAGCTTGCGCAGAGAACTGGAAGGGGTAAATGATGTAAACAGTTTCCGAGTTCTTGGTGAGCTGGTGATGCAATTTCCAGGCTTGAAAGAAGGGGCGTGTGTGTAGTCTTGTGTGAAAAAAATGGCCCTAGCTTTGACCGCCTTTTAAAGGTGATTGAACGCCGGGTTTGGGCTAGAACCCCTTTGCTCGGAATTGGTCCACAGTTCTTCTTTAGTCCCAATCGCAGTACACCACAAGAAAGGCAATGACATGGTTTAATTGTCCACCAAGAGGGACACATCGCAAAGACCAGCATAAAGTGTCTCTCGAATGTGGCTGCTTCGCAGCCAAAACAGCTTGGTTTGGTGTTTGGGGAGTTTTTGTTTAGGGTGCCCACGGCCATAATTCGTGAGAAGAAACGTGCATGTGAAGGATGCAACTTCAAGGTCACCCCAGACCAACGAAGATTGAGGCATCAAGGACTCCACGGAGTTCATAGTTTTTGCATGTTTTTGCACTCCTTGGCTACTTGGGCCATGCTTCTGTTGCAATGAGAGGGTGCCAGGCTTCCACTCGATTTTCAAGACAGGGCTTTTGACTTGTGCAGGTCATGGCTTTGGACATCAACAAAAAAATTGTCCAGGCCATTTTTGAACAGTTAGTGGTGCCAAATCGAGCCGCTTGGCTGGTTGAACAGATTTGTTCGAGTAGCGTCAACAATGCAAGCGGGAAATGAGGAGTCAAAGTGAAGGGTAAGAATATGTAAGAATCATAGATTTTGCAAAGACCAGAGTTCCAAAGCCAAAGTTCCACTTTCCTTTGGCCGGGCAGGAGTTGTTTGTCGTTTCAGAGCCTTGAGGTTTACGTGGACATTGCCCAGTTGGCGCAGGAACGACAGCTGCCCAAGGAAGAGCGCATTGAAAACTATCGCTCACCTGACCCAATTGGCGTGCTTTACATTACGATTTGGGAGGCGCGGGACTTGCCTGCAGCGGATATCAGCTTGCGGGGCTCCTCCTCAGATCCCTATGTGGTGGTGAAAGTGGGAAACAACAGTTGGCAAACAATCAAGAGGACCCGAACCTTGAGACCAGTTTGGGGTCCGGCGCATTCCATGGATTTTTTGGTCTTTCACATGGAGCAACACGTTTGTGTCGACGTCTTCGATTCCGACATGCTGAGCTTCGATGACTTGCTGGGATATGTGTGCACGACGAACACACGCAGACCTAGGATCTCAGATGTCATTCCAGAGGTTGGCGAAGAAGACACCCGAGAGTGGGATTTGCATAACAAACATGGCAAGTTGGGAGGCAAGCTGAAGATGACATGTCGTTTTCGAGAGCTCCGAGACATCTCAGAGCGGGCTTTTGTTGAGCCTCAGTGGTTAACCTGCAACAACTGTCAGGATCCGCTGCAGGAGAGCAAAAGCCTCAGAGCCTGCTCCTTGTGTGGCAGTCGTCCTTCGTCCCAGTTTCTAAGGTGTGGCAGTTGCTTCTCGGCCAATGATGCGCGCTTTGAGTGTGCCAAGGACAACTTCCGCTGTTGTTCTCAGTGTTGGCAGGAGCGTCGTCCAGCAGCAGCCATGCTCCGGGTGTGTCTCAGAGAGGGCCTGGTGCCTGCGGATGACGTTTTAGATGGTGCCGGCGTGGCGCTTGGAGTCAAAGTGGAAGGAACTACCCAGTGGTCAGCTCCTGGAGTGCGACCCACCTACGACAACATGGCAGAAAAGTCGGAGGCACAGAGGTCCGGCCTCTTGCAAAGGGTTTCCTGGTTCACTGTTCAATTTCTCCACATGACCATATAAATAAAAGAATCTCACCAATGAAAGGGTTGATCATTTTGAGAGTTTGTTTAAGGCTCTCCCTACAGGAGAGTTTTCCACCGACTTTCTCTGGAGAGTTTCCCACTCATTGCACCCAATATGATTTCACCAAAACTCACATCCAGATCGGGCAGAGACTTCTTGCCAATCGACTCCACTCAAGCCCCCGCCACTTTTGTTTTGATTGCTCGGGAGGTGGATCCGCAACCTCTGCGAGAGCTTCGACAAAGCATCTGTGGCGAAGTGTCTGGAGATCTCCGCCGAGCAGGCGACTTGGGGTTGCGGTGACCCGGTGACCGGGTTGGTTTTCGCACGGACGGGGCTCGTGTTTGTTCTTGAAGTTTTGTACCATGAAGACTACAATGGTCCTCATCTGAGAGTGATTTGCTTCTACTGTAGGTGGTCTGTTGGTTCATGGATTGCCAGGTGCAGGAGGCAGTGAACAAGGCTAAGGACAGGGACGAGACGAGGGCGTCTGACCTCATTGGCCATGAGGAGCGAGCCCGGGATGAACGTTTTGTGTCACCGACTTGAACCAGGAACTGTGAGAAGACAATGTCTTGTGAGATTTGCTAGAGGGAAACTGTATTGTGATTATTAATTGGCCTGATATCTATCTTTAAGGCACTTGTGTGGAGTAGTATTAGTGTATTGTCTGTATCGTGTATTCATTTTTTGTGAGTGCATGCGAGTGCCCTTTGTCTGATTTCTGACCAATGACAACAGTATGTTTTTTTTTTTGTGATTTTTTTTTCCGTTTCTTTCGAAGACAAGGCGGTGATTTGGGATCATGCCTTGCACTTCTTGGTTCGTGATCCCCACGAAGAGCTCCAAGCGACGGTGATCTACCAGGGAAAGTCCAGAACTGCAGATCAAGTTCCCTTGTTCCCAAAGAAGGTCAGGGAGTCCTTGCGGGTGAGCAGAGGCGACCGAGGTGGGAAAGCGTGGTTTTTGGGAGAAGAAGCATGTTGAAGCGGTGCGAGATTCAAAGATTTTTGGATGTGGTTGCAAGAGGCATGTGTGGCTTCCGATTCATCGATGATATGGAAATCTTTGGAAGGAAGGCTAGGAGTGTGTGAACAGATTCATTGCTACTACTAAGACACGCGTCCTGTTGTGGAGGTGCCGCGCGTGCTGATCGCCGTGGATTGCCGATGTCAGAGGAGCCGCTGGAAGTGACTTGGACCATCAACCTGGATTCCGCTCGGACGGCCAGCATTTTTGCAGATGTTGCCCTCCATGGACTCCTTCCACTCGGAAGCACCTAGAAAGGAGGCGATCTTTCTCGCTGCACAAGAACACCCTGCTTTGGATGAACATGGACCTGGTCCTCCCATGGGGGGTAATGTGTTTGTGACAAATTTCATAAGAAGGACTCGAGCCATGAAATGAGTGACTGGGGTCTTTTTCGGGTCGCACAAAGGGGCGACCCAGCCCTCCAAATGCGCAGAAAACGGAGACGGAGGCGCCGCGGCGAAAACATACTCTGCAGCGTCGCCAGAAAAAGACGGGCCAAGCCAGGAGTATGGTGTCCATGGATTTGTGTTTCTTGGTTCAATCCAAATTCTGGCAGTCGAGATGTGCAACGGAGGATGTGAGTCTTGAGCATGGCCGATCTTGACCAAAATTTGGGCAGGCGAGCATTTTTCGGAACACAGGCAAAGGACGGGTCTTCCGATCTTCTTCCATAATCAAGTGGGTGCGGGTTTGAGGAGCAGCGGAACAGTGAGTTTCTGCACGTCCTTTGTTCACCACTTGACCCACACGGGTCTGCCTGGAAACTCAAAAAGACCACTGAAAAGTTGGTCCGTCTTGCGAACACCTTGGAGCCGGTCCGTCTTGCGTCTGCCACTTCCACCTCGCTGGCCGCTGAGGCCTCCGTTTGTCAGAGCCTCCTCACACAGCTGCTGCCGGCGGAGACCGAGACTTCCCCGGAGCTCCTTGGAGGTCTCCGGGCTTGGCGTGCGCTGGTGCAGGCACTTGCTCACCTGGCCACCTGTGGCCCATCAGAGGGTTAAACCATGATATATAGATCCATTCTGTCTACCCCCCTTCCAGTTGGAGCGCCTTTGGTTTTGGACTTAAACTGCACCTTACCAACCTTGCCAATGGAAAACACGCGTGCATTCTTTTTGACTTTTGGATTCCTCTTTTCTGTAACGGTACAGTGACATGATCTGATGGCAGGCTCATGCACCCCCCCCAACTTGTGTGCATCGGCGGCTACAACTCTATGTGGAACCGGCACGAATTTGTGCTGCAAGAGGGCGCCCCTTGGCCTTGAAAGCTAACGAGCCGAACATGGAGGCACCCGTAAATCATCGTAAATCATCGTAAATCTACAGGGTCATCTTGCAAAACATGGTGGACAGTGTTTGTTTGGTGGCAAACATGTCTGGGACAGACTGCGGTGACAGATCTGTGGCGCAGAGGGCAGCCTTGGTCTCAAGGGTGAAGTTACTGCAGTAAAGATTCTGTGATTGTTTTCATTCGTTTCTGGACGGAAAGCAACCAATTCTCCCAGTTTCTTGTTTGGGATTGAAGTGCCACACTTGACTCGTTGCCATCGGCTGGCTGAAGCCACGAAGAAAGTGCGAGACGGTCAGCTGAGGATGTTCCATGTTCTGATGAAATTCATCTTGTCTTTCGCATTCTTCCTTCACTTTTACCAAGGATGCCAGAGGTTGCGAAGATTCATCAGAGGTGGTCTGCTCCCTGAGAGGCCTAGGGGAAAAAGTGTGGAGACTTGTTGGGCGTTTTGCCGACAGCACACACACACACACACACTCTCAGTGTCAATTGAATTCATAGAAACAACACACGAACAAACATCGAATTTGGAAGGGCCCTTACCATCTTTTAGCAACCATTTTCCAGGTTTGAGCGACTCACTTTGCATTCTGCAGCACACCGAGTGTGCTGACGACATGCAGAGCCGACACACTTATCACTTATATAATGACTATATAGTAGTCACTACGCCTGCGGATGTATCACATCATGTTTGGGATTGTTTGGGCCTGCCACCTTTGGGCCGCCCTCCCCGACAAACCCATGAAGCTGAACTCATGTGCCCTTTGGCAAAAGAATGACATCTTTGCCTACGTCACTTATGCTGCCCATTGCTTGGGGTTATCCGCACTGGCTTGTTGGGTCAAAGGGACTTTGACATGGACATCTTCAAGTAGTAAAAAGGACGCTATTAGGTGGAGGCCATCGCTAGTAGGTTGGAGGCCATCGCTAGTAGGTCGTGCTTCACTTTGTGAAATAAGAGATGCCCCTGTGGTAGGCGCTGAAGCCAGCGATCGATGGCGATGCATTCTACCTCCCATGCAGCAGAAACGAGCTGACGTAGCGGTCTTTTGCCCCAGCATCGGATCGAAAAGTGCGAGACTGTGATCCGGAGTCAGTGGGGGGACCCCAAGTACGTTGACCGATTATATACTGTAGATGGCCCAGAAACGTGGTGTTGGAATGAAGGAGCGAATCAAGCCGAGGTTACCCACATCGACATAGGATACATGATACATGTCTCGAACGGGCAGTGCCCGGTGAAAGGCGAATGGGTTCGCAACCCTACTTGTTGCGGCAATGAAACAACACATACCTAGGTGCAATGCTGAGGTGGGCTTGCAATATCGTTTGCCTTTCCAGCGTTCCCATGTGGTGCGTGTGTTCAGAGTGCAACAAAAAGCACATCGATTCACTGGTGGATGAGTAAACCAGCTGAATGCCCGAGACTGATCGAACGTCGGGAGAAGTCTTTGAGCGCGAGCCTCTTAGACTCCTACCGAAGCGAAGGAAAAGACAGGGCCTTGCATCCATGAACTCCACACGCGTGCCGAGGGAGGAGCGACTGAGGTCGTCGGCTCCTCTCCAAAGATTTTATTCGCCCTTGGTGGCCGCCCAATTGCATGGAGTGACGGAGACGACTGTTAGGCAGAGCGGCAATCACAATCAATTCCTTAGAACCCTTCGCACGAATACATAGACCCCCAAATAGATACGTAGAAAAGTAAAGTCCCTTTCGAAACGTAATGGAAACCGTGCCACTATCTATTTGGGGACCACTATATATATTATTTTTTGCAGGGTTTGACGACAGGAAAGTGAGCAAACCCTTGAAGCAATGGGATGAGATATATTTGTTATGTATGTATTTATATGTATCAGTGTATCAGAGCTTTCGCACGCAGTGCATGAGTGACATCAAAGAACCTGAGGTCGCAATGGGGAGCAAAGACATGCCTCTGTTGAGCGGCTAGACTTAGTACAGTGGCAACTCCACGGGCAAGGCTGGGAAATGATGCGGCTTGGCAGGAAAGTAGACTGAACATATGTGGGAGGGCACATGATGGCTCATGATGGCTGATTGATGCATTGGCGCATCATGCGTCCAATTGCAGAGCGAAGACCCCAAACTACTCCTACCACCCTCGCATTCGCTGATTTGGAGAAGATCGCCGTCTCTCTTCCGGTCGAAAAAAGAACGAGCTCGACTGTCCTGGAGTGAGGCCACCCATGCTGCAAGACCGTTCTGGTTTAGCTGTCACATGCCGGCATATTGAGAGGAATTGGAGGTCGAGTCTTCAGTCCATATGTATTTTAGATTTGATGCATGAGGCCTTTCGATGCATTTTGGCCAAATTGGCATTGCAGCTCGCTGCTGTGTGTAAAAGTGGTTTTGAGTCCAGTGTGCCAAAGACCCAAGAACGTTTTAGCTGCAGAGATTTTTCATAGCAAAGAAGTTCTTGAGAGTTCGACGATGCGTCAAACTGTTTGTCAAGTGGGTCACGATCACTGAGGCTAGTGTGGTCGCAGAGGGCCTTGTTGTAGCGGGTGGCCGTAGCAGCTTGAAAGGTGTGCTGAGGCAGGAGGTTATGACGCTATGTCGCAGTCTCGAGTTTTTTAGCAGGAGGGATTTGAGCTTTTGCTCTGAGATTCTTGCGGTTCACGGGTATCCTAGGTCTTAGGATAAACATGCAGGTTGGAGGTGATTGTGTCGATGATAAGAGGGCAAGCCTCTTTTCTTGTCGGGCGACATGCCTTGCTTCGCCCACTCTGAGAGAGATAGGCCAGATAGGCAGGCTAGTTGTTCTATGTTGTTCTTTCATTCATGTGGGCCACCAAAGCCCAGGTGACGTCTTGGTTCCATTGTCCAAGTGTGATGCTACTAGGAGCAAGGACGCTACTAGGGGCTCCTGGCCTTACTACTAGGAGGAAGCTACTAGGAGCGGGATGTTCACTCCGCCCAGGGATGCTGAATACTGCGACCTTCGGCATGCTGGTTCCTTTGTGCCAATTTCCCCGATGCATTCGCCGCGCCCGGACCTCGGGTGTGGAATCGGACCGGAACGGAGATCCTCTGAGCGGAAGATGTCATCGTGGATGGAACAAGATTTGGTAGAAACAAGAAGCTACGAACGGGGCTCTTGGCATCGCTACTAGGAGCAAGGACCCTACTAGGGGCTCCTGGCCTTACTATTAGGAGCAAGGACGCGTTTAACAGACTTCTGAGATCTGAAACTTGTTCGCAGGTGAATATGCTGCGGCTGCGGCAGTGGGAGATGAATTCTGGGTGCCTGAGAGTTGATTCGCCAGAGTCACTGCGCGTCTCCAAGACTATCAGAAACCGTGCCATCATTCTGCCAAACGAAACGTTTAGTTTAGTCCGCCCATCGCGCCTTTTCACTCCTTTTCAGGTGTTCACTTGCTTTTGGTCGGGATCCACGTTTTTGCCGGGTTTTAGCTTCCACTTCCACTTCCCAACGCCAGGTGCTGGGTGGTGGAGAAAATTGTCGAAGTAGCTCCGTGGAGATTTGGGACGCTGGTGCCAGCCATTGGCGACCAGGTCCAGAGATGAGGCACGGCATGGCTCGCCAATGGCTCTTTCGATCGGCTCGCTATGGACGTTCACCGTTGATTTTGCATCGGCTGATAGAGTCTTCACTTCACAATACTTCACAACTTCACATTATAAAGCCCGACGGAGAAGTCCAGTTGCAGGGAAAAGCGCTATGGCGCTAGTGCAGTTTGGCATCATGGCCGGCTTTACGTGGTTGGAGGTAGCCATCACTTCAGAAGCTTGGAAAGGTTTGAGCCGTCTCTTTTGCCTCACGAGTGGAGGAGGTCCAAAGTACTTCATCATGCTCATGAAGGAATATGAATGTTATCCTGGATTTAAAGGACTTTCTACATGACACTGGCTGAACGGAAATACGTCAACGCGGATGCGCCACCCGAGGGTTCCCATGCTGGGGGGCGACCGATCCATTTTCGTTCGATCAGGAAAACGGAAGCTCTCAGTGCTGGAGTCCCTGGATCCCAGAGAAGGTCTCTGGGAATGCTACGACTTGCAAGCGCTTGATGGGCCGGGGTACCAGCAGGAGCCCCAGAGAATTATCTTAGCAACGATGGAATAGCTGAGCCGGAATTTTTATCAACATGACAAAGCTTTGCCCGAAGCTTCTAATTTTCGACAGAAGACACTGAGAAGACGCTGAGTCTCACTTTGCAGGTGTCCCAAAGTTGAGTCTCCTTCTAGTAACACGTGCCACGCTAGTAGTAACAGGTGCCTTACTAGTAGTAACAAAAAGCTATTAGAAACAAGTGCCTTACTACTACTAGTAACAAGTGCCTTCTAGTCAACTCATGTCATGATCCAGAAAGAAGGATCGGCCCAAGAGATCAGGAAGGGGCACCTTCTCAGGGTGCTAAGCGAGTTCAGGGAGAAACATGGACATTGCATTTATTTGCCGCATTGGTTTGATAGTGGGGCAACTAATATGAGTTGTTTGATATGGAATCAGGAAGTTGCTCATGCTACTGGGCAACTAGTCTATGCGAGCACCCGTGACCACTCCGTTTGCCACTGCAGGTCCTCTCTTTGGGGTACTGGGGTTGCAGCGCTGGATGCTTGGTGCAAGCCATCCATATTCTGGGCCTCTGACCGGACCCACGACGACGGGTGTTGTCGAGACCAAAGAGCTCAGGGGTCTCGCAGGGCGAGTGGCGTGAAACTCTATAAAAGTTGGTTTCGGTGCACCAAGTTCAATAGGACGACCAATTTCATCACATGTCCCTCCTCCGAATGACAATTTGACTCGAGAACCTAGACAGCTGCACTGACTCGGCATGGACCAGGGCTGCGGAGCTTGACAAGCTCAAAGTCCCGAAATCACCAGGTTTTTTTGTCGAGGGAGGCGCTTTCGATGGCATCGCTCGCTGAGGATCAGTCTCTCTATATTTGTGGAGGGGCATTCCGCGATTTAGAGGAGTCATTGACCACTGTCTACAGACTCGATTTGCTTCTTGCAGCATTAAGATGGGCCATGCCTGATTATATGTTTGAAAGAAGTCCAGAGGTCCATACCCACTGATGTAGACACCTACAAAGGGTTTGAAAAGGACACCATGACAAGGAAATCCTTACGACATGTAGACATTGAGTTGTTTGATGAGATTCATTGCTCTTTCCCAAGGCGGACGATGCAGCTGAGCAGGCTGAACCGCGAAGCGCCAGGTGCAGCTTGCCTCCTGCAAGTGCCGCGCTGGTACCCAAGCAGCAGCTAAGGCAATTGGCATCTATGAATCTGACAGATTTGACTTCATCCAGTTTGTGTTCTATTGTGGGAACTGTTGGGGTTTGGCGAAAAAGGCAAAATGCGGCTGGTTGCTTGACATCCAAATCTGCAAACCGCCATCTATTTTCTGTGGGAGCACCCTGGAAAGCTTTGGACATCCCCATGCTGTATGGCCCATTGAGTTTAAAGCTCCTTCCGGATATGGTGGACGAATATTTTTCGTTCCCCTGGTGGAAACCGTGCAGAAAAAGTCGGTCCCCGGCTGTTTTGACTGAGGTGCGGAGGAGCCTGTATTGTACGGATGCCCAGAGATTCGTGCGTTTAGCGCTAGTGATGGGAGATGGAATTGAACACTTATTGTTGTAAGGCACTTGAACACTGCTTGGGGGGAGTCAACACTTTGCTTCCCTTGCCTTGTATCCTCTCAGATGGTCATTGTCCAAGAATGTTGATTACAGCAAAATGAGTCAAATGGTCAGCTTAAAAGCCCCATGAATGAAATCATCAGGACCAGTCATCATGGACCGCACTTGGGAGTCATTATTGGTTGGTCGGACATAAGTGGTATCTAAGAGTGGATGACGATTGTGCTTTGTAAGAAGCTTTTGCCCCAAAATAGTATGAATCATGTCTTTACAAACTGCTACTGGCAAGGGCATTATTGATCCACCCTCCTTTGGGTCCTACACGCACAGTTCAGCTGGCTCTTTTCCGGGCCAAGGTGTGAATTTGAACACTGAGTACTGAGATTCCCGGCAATCAGGGCACGCTTACGTCAGTGTTCGTGTCAATCAGGCGGCAGTGCGATGGGACTGTGACAGAAAGGCTTGCACAGGGTACCGTGCGCATCATGTGCCCTTTTCACCACGGATCCTACACGGATCGGCCCAAGTAGTACGGATGTTTGGATTCTTTTGATGTAACTCCAGTCTCGCAGCTTGCAATACAATGACCGAGATTGCGGTACCATGACTGAGATTGGCTCATGTGACGCCAACTTGCATGCGAGCCGTCGATATGAGAGAGAGTGAGATAGATAGATAGATAGATAGACAGAAAGATATAGATAGATAGATAGATAGATAGATATGTGAGGGAAAAGCGAGAGATTCTTGCAGGCAAGTGCGATTCAGTACTTCGGGTACGTCGAGTACTGTGTTTTCCATCCATGGGAATGCCCATTGAGATTGTATAGGAAGACATGCTACAGCCGGCATTTTGAGCGATCTCGTCACCAAGAAGGAGTTTCAGCCGAAAACTCATGAACCTCAAACTTCAGCTCCTCAAGTGGGCCAGTAGACTGGTGTGCGCCAGATGACTAAGCCTTTTCAACTGCCCAAATGTGAAATAATGGGTCAATGAAGAACTGAATAATGTTGATCAGCCATGGCATGGCATGCATAGCATGACCGCAGAGCGCTCTTTTTAGCATAGAAGAAAAGGCGCCACAGTCCCGCCACTCCGTTGTGCGGTTCTTGATGGTGAGCGGAGCCCTGTTCACTGTTCACTCAGGGCATCTGCCGAGCCGCGGCTGCGCTGCGGCTACCTGCGCGCTCCTGCTCGCGGCCGCCTGCGCGGAGCTTGCGGCCCCACCTCTTGCGCTTTGCGCTGCCTGGCGCTACTGCAGCGCCGCCCTTGCACTACTTCTTGGACGAGATCTTCTACTAGTTCTCCTTTCTCCAGGCTCCATGGCTGCTGATGGGAGTGGTGTGATCACCACTGATCGCCACGGGGTTCCCCAGTACGGAGGAGATGTCGACAGCTTTGAAGAGTGTGAAGAGCGAAGTTGGGACCTCTTCTATGGCCGTGAAGGCCAAGACAGCTTGCAGATCGTGACCCCGATCCACCTGTGGCCTACGACGCCGTCCGTCGTTTGAAGCACTCTCAACTCAAGACCTCCAAGGAGGGCAAGGCCACAGACGATGGTATGAAGCTGCTGCTTACAACTTTGAAGGACAACATCGCAGCTGAGAAACCTGTCCGTACCAATGAGCTCTTCTTCACTGCCTTCTACTCTCACCATGTTTGGCGGAAGGTCAACGAGAGTATGCAACGGTACATCATCAGGCGGGAGCAGGACTTCAACCGCCTGCAGAAGCCTCCGGCGAAACCCATGTGAGCGAGAACCTCCGCTGCATGATGCTGCTCATCTTGTCAGGTCTTGACCAACGCGAACAACTTGGAGTCCTGTCTAGCGTTGGCAATGAGTATGACTTGAAGAAAGTGAGCCACGCACTACGGATCCAGTATCCATCTGCATCGGGAAAGCCTGTCCCGAGACGTGACTACTTGGGCGCAGCTCGAACTTCCCGACAGTCATGGACAAGCCCTGACCCACGGTCAAAGTGGAAAGGCCATCGAGCTCGCCAGATCCTCACCTCCGAGGTCGTTGAGGACTACGAAGACGCTGATGAAGAGGGCTTCTATGAAGATGAAGAACCTCCTGAAGGAGATGATATGGCCAGTGATGTCTTCATGGGCGAGAGCGATGATGACTTCTTCGAGGCCCTGACGGCCGACATGGCCGACTACGTGGACGACCAAGGACTGGCCAACGCCTTCGCCACGGCGGCCCAGTTTCGTTCCACCTTCGAACGGACCCTATCCGTTCAAGGCCACCAGCGAGTTGAGCTCCGATGCAAAGGCCAAGGAGCAAAGAAAAGCAGCCGTTCGCTTCTTGAAGAGTGTGACGCAATGCACGGCCTGCAACCAGAAAGGGCATTGGGTTGGAGATCCTGAATGTCCAAGTGCCAAGAGGAAGGGTGGAAAAGGCAAGTCATCCTCCAAGTCACCTGGCAAGAAGAAGGGATCAGGCAAGAAAGGTTCCCAGAACCTCCACGTGCACAACGATGCTTCACCCACGGCACGATCCTCCGAGACCTACTTCATTTTGCGCGATGCAATTGAATCGGCCGATGAAGCTGAGGTTCAGTTGACCTTCATGCCTGCCACCAAGGCCAGCGACTCGGACTTCGTCACGAACATCAATGACTTGACTGTGAATGACATGGCCACTGCCACCTCCTACCTCAATGAGGACAATGGCGCGAAAGATGAAAGCTCCAAGGTCAGTCCGACCTGCCTGAGTCCGCCTGCCACTGAGACCAGTGAGGAAACCAGTTTCACCGCTACACGATTTTCCGACGTTCTCGTCGTCTTCAAAGTTAAAGAGACCAAGCTCTGCGAGCATGCCACTTCCAACGGTGGTGATGAGCATCAATATCACCGAGGAGCAAATGGCCACACCAGACACATCGCTTGCAAGGTGTGCGATGCCACAGTCATCGTCGCGCGACGAAAAGTACTGTTCAGCTATGGAGCTATTTGGTTCAGGTTGCTATGTGCACCAAATGGGGCAAGGCATTGCGAGTTGAGTCCCTATTTCGTCGTGCAGGACAACTTGCCCTCACCGAGGCCACGACAAGTCAGGCCCTTCGGCAAGAGAGAAGCCCTACGTCTCAGCATCATCTCAGCCAATACAGATCCAGAAAGGAATTCTACGATCCCTCCAAGATGCACTACCACCGTCTCATGGATCCCTGTACGGTATCCTCTTTGCACCGGGTGTTGAACTACCTGGTTTTCCACCGCTGGCTGAGGAAGATGCTGACATCTTGCAGCCCTTGCCATCCGATGCCATGGTGATGGATGAAGGCCCTTTCATTGATTGACCTCGCGTCCTCTCCAGACAGCGAGGAGTTCTCCACCCAGGTGATGACTCATGCCCTCACGAACCAACCGATGGCACCATCCATCTACAAGTACGCCTTCTACCTCTACGGCAGAACAAGGTTGGCGTGGGGTGCAGCAACACGGATCATGAAGGGACAAGCTCCAAATCCCTCAAAGAGAACGGGCTCACCTGATGATATGAGTGCCACCAGGACGATTCGTGTTCCTGTCCGCTTCGTTGAGTCCGACACCAACAGCGTCCACCCTTTTGACTGTGAGTGCATGATGGTTGATGACAAGACCCTCGAGGCCTATGCGCTACAAGCTGAAGACAAGCCTGGTCTTGCCATCCTGGACTCCGGCTGTTCCAGGACCATGCGCGGCGCTGAGTGGGCCGCTGCCTTTGAGGCTGAGCTCAAGAAGAGAGACCTCCAACCAAATGTCCGCGAGAAGAAGCAGCTGTTCCCTGTCGGCGTTGGAGGAGTACAAGGATGCCTTCACTGAGACCCCTGGCGCTTTGCGTATCTTGATCTCAAGGCCCTTCATGACTGCCTTGGGTGCCATCATCGACTTCAACAAGTACACCGTCAGCTTCAGCAAGCTCAGCATCAAAGATCTCCCACTGGAGAGGACCTCACGTGGCCACATCCGACATGGCCATTGATTTGCTGCAGTTCGATCCCGATGGACAGACCCTCAACATGGTCATCGACGTCAATGGCAAGATCCCAGATCTTGGAGATCCTGTCCCCAGCGATGATGAACCAGACTATGGTGATTATGAGGAGGATCAGGGTGAGCATCAGCCCATCGAGATTGATGATGATGACGGTGAGACTTGGGCCGTGATCGATCCCACTTCGTCCCAACGGGCACTTGAGCCTCTGGAACAGCTCTTGGCAGAAGGTGAACACTGTGATGACCGCGACACCTTCATCCAGCAGAATCTTCCCTTCCGCAAGAGCAGCAATCGGAAGTCAAAGAAGATTGGCAACATCGACCGTGCCCTCGATGGAGAGGGCCTACTCCGACTCCAACGACTCCGTGGCGATCGAACTATACATACCCACGGAAACCTCCAGTCGGCAAGACCTGGATCAAGCAGATCTTTGCAGGCCAGATGGGCATCGCGCTCCTTGCTGTTCTCTTTGGCGTGTGAGTTGGAGTTCCTCCGGACATTAACCAAGGTTGGGATGGTGGAACATCAGACGGTCGCCGCCAGTTGGTGAGCCTCTTAACCTTTCTCAATGATTCCACCCCAGACTGTTGCTGCGCCGCTTGCGGGGTAAGACCGCCGGCGGAGCCTCAGACTCCGACTGCGCCCCTGCCATGACAGACAATTCTTTAGGGCAGGCTGGGTTGCTTGAGCATAAGACTCCGGCCGTCGGAAAATAAATAAGTGGACTTAAACTTAGTGAAGTTAATTCTCAATAAGCCAATGGTCGTGGGCTAGACTAGAGCTAGCAGAACAGTAGTAGTAAATACAGCGGGCCACAAAATATGGCGGAAGCCGCGGCGGACCGACAAACTGCCGCGGAAGCCCCGGCAGGCCACAAACGAGCGCGGAAGCTGCGGCGGGCCACAAACTAGCGCGGAAGCCGCGGCAGGCCAACTACCGCGGAAGCCGCGGCGGGCCACAAATGAGCGCGCCGCGGCAGGCCAACTACCGCGGAAACCGCGGCGGGCCACAAATGAGCGCGGAAGCCGCGGCGGGCCACAAACTAGCGCGGAAGCCGCGGCGGGCCACAAAC